TTTCTTAAATTTTTAGTTGTCCAGCCAGTTTTTATTTATTTATTTTTTTTAGTGGAGATGGGGTCTCGCTCTTGCTCAGGCTGGTCTCCAACTCCTGAGCTCAAGCGACCCTCCCGCCTCGGCCTCCCAGAGTGCGGGGACCACAGGCGTGGCCGCGCCGGCCCAAACCGACCACCGCCCTCTAAGGAGGGTGACCCGGGCGAGCAGATGGATGGGTTGCAACTGACTTGCAAAACTAGGAAGACTGTGTTCTACGCTGGCAGTGCCCAAGAGAACAGTAACCGCAGACGGGCCAAGGGCTGAGGAACTGGTGGCAGGAGGAGCCAATACAAGCAGGGCTGAGGGTGAGACCAAAAAAGGGATGCTTGAGCGGAAGAAGCACCTTCTTACCTGGATCCCCTCCTTCACCCTGGAATGAAATGTGAGCCTGACTCCCGGGGAAGGTGAGACAGAGTTCCAGGACAGGGGAGGCCCACGGAAGGCGGGAGCTGTAACACTAGAGCAAACTGAAGAAAGCCGCGTGTCTGGCCTCTTCTCCCACTCAGCTCCAGGACCCAGATTTATTTCCTTTGGGCATGAAATTAGATGACCCCTCTATTCCCCAACCAGGAATCTGACTGGCTCAGGAAACATCTAAAATTACTGATGTTGCAAGTTAAAAAAAAAAAAAAAGTCCAGTCATTGAACCCAAAGTGATGCCACAACTGATGCTCAGAGTACCCAAATTGTGTTTTTGGTAACTCACACTTTCGTATGAGCTGACAACCAAGGGTCAGCAAACATCCAAAAAAAGTTTCCATCCACGAAGAAGGGAAGGAAAACCAACAAAGCAATACGGCTGAAAAAAAGGCTCTTAAGAGAAGCAAAGATATTTTTTTAAAAATTTATCACCAACACGAATGATATAAAGAAGATATTATAAACATGAAACAAGAAAAAGGCACTATAGAAAAAGGTGCATTCAGAGGACAAAGAGCTCTTTTAAAAATAAAAATACCTTTGTACAGTTCTGCTTAGAGGAATTCATTTTACAAGTACCTTGGCACATATGTGAAATGACTTACAGACAACATGATCTGGTGTGGATTTGTTTATAGTAGAAAAAGGATTGCAGACAACCTAAATGTTTATCAATGGAAGAAAGGCTGAATGAACAATGGAATAATGCAAATAAGAAACAACATAGGATTTGCTTTTTATATGTTGATATAGAAGTCTCTCCAAATTATATTGTTCAGTGAAAAAAGCAAGGTATAGAACAGTGTGTATGGTATAGTTGCATGTATATATGTGTGCATGTATATACACACATACATGCATACATTATATAACATGTTACATCATGTACTATATAATTGTATATCACAATTATATTTTATATATTATATAAATTATGTTTTAAGTTACATAGTCATATAATTATACTATATATCTTATATGATAATATATACTATTACATTTTACATATATATTTATAAAAAAAGAAGTGTGTGTATGTATATACACACATATCCATAAGTAACATTTCTGGAAAAAAACATGAGAAACTAGTAATACTGAAAGAAATTAATTGGCCAACTAATATATATAGAAAAAATTAGCCGGGCATGGTGGTGCATGCCTGTAGTCCCAGCTACTTGGGGCTGAGGCAGGAGGATCGCTTGAGCCCAGGAGTTTGAGGTTGCCATGAGCTAGGCTGATGCCACAGCACTCGCTCTAGCCTGAGCAACAAAGCAAGACTCTGTCTCAAAAAAAAAGAAAAAAAAGAAAGAAATCCTGCTAGGGCTTATTTTATGGGGAGGTCTTATTTTCGGGGAAACATGGTATTTGTTTTTAAAGAAATAATCCCTACCTCGTACCACACATAAAAATTAATTCCTGGCAGATTAAAGAACTAAATGGACAAACAGGAATATGTATTTACAACCCTGGAGTAGAAATGGTCTTAAATAAGACATATAAAATGGATAATGTAATGAGCAGTAATTCTCAGAAAAGAAAATCCAAATAAACATAGAGAAAGATTGCTTCATCTTACTAGTAAAAAGAGA